CCCCAAAACCCCAAAACCCCAAAACCCCATGGAGTTACTTATTCTATATATTTATAAATTTCAACTTTATTGTTAATTAAAGCGATTTGATAATATTTTCAAAATTCCAAATCAAAATTGCTACTTTATATATCTTCAGTCGCGGTTACCTCTGAATCCGCCTCTTCCTCTGAAGCCACCTCTGTCTCCTCCACGGAAGCCACCTCTGGATCCTCCTCTGTCTCCTCCACGGAAGCCACCTCTGGATCCACCTCTGTCGCCACCTCTGAATCCACCTCTGGATCCTCCTCTGAAGCCACCTCTGTCACCTCCACGGAAACCTCCTCTGAAGCCACCACGGTCGCCTCCTCTGAAGCCGCCTCTGCCACCGCGACCTCCTCTTCTGTCTTCCCAACTTCCACCTTCGGCTCTCTTGTTCTTAAGTTTCTCTGAAATATCAACTTTAACATCTCTGCCATCAAGATCCTTTCCATTTAGTGCTACGGCTTATTGTGTTGATTCAGCTTCTTCAAATTCAACATGAGCAAAGCCTTTCAATTTTCCATCTTCCATCTTGGCAATTCTGACAGCTTTGATAGCTCCACAGCCTGAGAAGAATTTCTCAAGACTTTTCTCGGTTGTTGTATAGCTAAGGTTCCCAACGAAGACAGTTGTTGATTTCTGTTCTGGCTTATCACCACCTTCTTGGCCTTCTCCTCTTGGTTTCTTTTCAACTACCTTGCCGCTTGAGAAGTTACATTTCAATTCTCTTCCTTCAATTTCTTTGTTGTTCATTCCTTTAACTGCGGCGGCTGCTTCCTCGTGAGATGAGAATCTGATAAATGCATATCCCTTCTTCTTTCTGCCAGACATTGGGACAGATACATTCTCGATAGTTCCGAACTCTTCAAATAGTTCCTTAAGGGCGTCGTTTTCCATTGTGAAAGGAATGTTTCCAACAAAGATCTCTGGTGAATTCTCGGTGTCATTTTCCTTCTTCTCATCATCTGAACCGTCTGACTCCTCATCGTCGCTTTCAGCAGCTTGGACTGGCTTCTTGGCTACTTTCTTGGTGGCACTAACGTCTGATGCACCTCTTGATCTCTTTCCTAGAGCAGCAGTGGTTTTCTTTTACTTTGCTTGAATGAGTTGCTCGAGATCTACAGAATCTTCAGATTCATTTCCTGATTCATCCTATTAGAGATATTATAAGCAATTGATAGCATACATCTGAATCATCAACAACCTTTGGGGGAGGGACGTTCTTCTTGGTGACTGGTTCCTTAACATTCTTTTGTTCCTTTTGTTGTCTTCTGTTTTTTTACTCATCCATCTAAGAAAGATTTATTAAGCATTAGAGCGTAAGGGGAAGTGCAACTTACTGATTGGCGTCTTGAGTTGTCTTTGGTTTCTTCTTTCTTTGTAGCAACTACTGCTTTTTGATTCTATAAGATATGTTTAGACAAGTATGCTGATTACCTTTGGCATGTCTTTAAGTATTTTAGTATACAATATAACTTTAATTATATTCTCAAGAATAAATTTACTATATAGTATTAACTTTTCATTATTTTCCCCAGCCACTCAATTTATGAGTCTAATTTCACCCTGGGGTTTTGGGGTTTTGGGGTTTTGGGG